GAACAATTGTTTAGCTGGAATAACGGTTATGCCACTGCATTTACCAATATGAACCAATCACGTTGCCGCCTTATGATCTTAATCACGTTTCATTTACGAAATTGTTATTTAAAGAAGATCAATCCACATTCATTCGATACAGGAAAATTAATTGTTACAAAAAATCGACCTTTAATAATTTAACCCTTTCTTATGCGCTCATCTTTTTCCATTTTCCTGTCGATGCCATTCTTGCGAAAAGCATACTTTATTACATGATAGTATCAGATACTTCCTTTCAGTCAAATATCATATGATTTTACAAATTTTGTTTAGAAAATAAAATACGTATTCTTCATAATATTCTTATTTGACCTCTTTTACATTCTGAAGGAGAGAAACTTGCTTTGCATTAATTCTTCATTGTTTACTTAACAGTATTTCAGATGCACCCGAAGCGTACACAGCCGCCACGCAAAACGACACAAAACGCCGCAAAATCCGGACCAATCGGTCAGAAGAGGAAAGAATGTAACAAACGGAACGCCGACGACGTCTCATCAATTTCAACATCACCAGAGATTCAATCATCTGAAGATTCAAACAAAATTACACGTTCAAAGAAGTCGTCAAAAGAAAAAAAGTCCACCGACAAGCTCGATCAAGTGGATGATTCAATGGATAATGCGCCACTCGCCGGTCGTATCAATACAAATGCATCCGAACCGCCTTCAATAACAATCAATCTCATCAATGAAAGTGATCAGGAACAAGATGAATCGTCAGATTCTAACCAAGAAGAACCAAACACACCACAATCCACCAATATCAACGAACATGATGAAATTCTGTTCTCCACAGCAAGACCGACTACAATAACCGATATTCTTTTCACAAACGAAGACATGAATCCAACAACGAACACCAATAACAATACAAGCACGCAAAATACAGTGACTATCAAGGACCTGTACGATCCCGTAGACGATCCAACATCAATAATGGAACCTCCAATCAAAGATCCATTTCAATTCGACTTCACAAATATACCTATTGTCAATCATCTCCGTCCACCGACTGTCATTTTACCTAAATCACATCAAACTGGGCCAAAGCGAAACTAAACCGATACTCTCTATCCAAAAAAACATTAACTTTTATGAACTTTCCTGTAAACCATTTTCCAAAATAAAGCTTCACTCTTTCATTACATAAAACTAACAACACTTTCATTCCGAACAAAATCCTCATCTAAATCAAAATAATCAATCCGCTTTCTAACTGGTCATAAAAAAAGCGTATATTATCTACTTCAGACACTCCGATCCGACATCGAAAAGCATACACCATTCATATTTCACCATCATTCACATAAGATAAGATACTTGCAACAAAACTTGCCACAATAACTATCAAACAGCTCTCACACCAACCAACAATAAACTCATATGTAGGTCAATTCCTCGATTCCTCCGAGGAACTATTGAAGGTACCCTGCTGGTACTGTCGTCATTCCCGTGGAATTATCATCAGAAATGAGACAAATCCTCATTTCCACCTCTTTTTTCGTTCTGTCTCTTCGTAATATATTGCCATGATCTGTTCATGCAAGGATCAATTCCTCGATTCCTCCGAGGAACTATTGAAGGTACCATGCTGGTACCATCCTCATTCCCGTGGAATTATCATCAGGAATGAGACAAATCCTCATTTCCACCTCTTTTTTCATTCTGTCTCATCGTAATATATCGCCATGATCTGTTCATGCACGGATCAATTCCTCGATTCCCCCGAGGAACTATTGAAGGTACCATGCTGGTACCATCCTCATTCCCGTGGAATTATCATCAGAAATGAGACAAATCCTCATTTCCACCTCTTTTTTCGTTCTGTCTCTTCGTAATATATCGCCATGATCTGTTCATGCACGGATCAATTCCTCGATTCCTCCGAGGAACTATTGAAGGTACCATGCTGGTACCCTTCTCATTCCCGTGGAATTATCATCAGAAATGAGACAAATCCTCATTTCCACCTCTTTTTTCGTTCTGTCTCTTCGTAATATATCGCCATGAT